TTATTAAGATGAAGTCGAAAAATTGTTCAAATAAGGGCATCTATTTGAACAGGCTTGCTCAAGATAAATTGACCAACTTTTATAACCACTATGTCTAGATCCAACTATAGACTATAATAAAAAAACGTTTTCGATCGGTGTAGAGTATGAATAAACAATCAGATATCGAGAAATTCAAAAGAAAAATTGCGATTATTTTCTTAAAATAAATTAATCTGAAATATTCGTCAAGAAAATATATTCTCAACTACACGTGTTGTGTACCAATCATATCTGAAAATGAAGCTGGTTTTAGTTCTGACCGATAGAAAAGATAATAAACAAAAGATGAATTGAGAATAGCAACATCTATGTATCACCTGTCGTGCAGAGTGGTGTAAAACAGTTGCCATTACAATGGTCGTTTATCTATTACTAGAAACGACATTGTTGGATTTGATCTTTTTATAAAAAGGCAATATAAGAGTTTACTCTCGATTCGTCCCAAAAGTGTTTGTCTCAATTTGTCCCTTCCATGAATAGATCATTCTTAATTGATTCTCAATCCGTCCCTTCACAGTTCGTTCGTAATTAATTACTAAGTAAGTTTAGTATTCTTGAACAGTTATACTTTTCAATCATAGAGTTTTATTAAACAAAATTTATAATACAGTATCAACAATAGTAGAGTATCATTTTCCATCGTCACTTTTGGAACAACCGTGTCTTGACAGCGCGACCACATTGTATAGCCAATTGTACATCACTTAACTGTTTGTTTTTGTGCTCTTCATGAAGCATAAGAAGTTTTATATCAATTTGGTCGTGAATCTTCTTACGTCTTCGTAATTGAACTTGGCTCTCTTCAGCAACATGATGCTGATATTCGTGTTCCGTGCGTAATATATCTATAAATTGATAGATATGTGGATGAGTAGAAAATTCTGCTTTCATTCGTCTGTTATAACGCCCGACTTGGTTGCTGGTGCGAGGGCGACGATTGACAATTGCTTCACAAACGTTCCACATGTCCACATCGAATCGAGTTGATCCATTTTCTACATATGTGGAAACCATAAAATCATTAAATTGTGAAGCTGCATCATGATCATTTGGTGTATATTCATCCATTAATTTCACCCAAGTTGTTTCAACTAATGTTGGTAGTATAAGTGTAAGTCCAATTGCACCAAGAATCTATTGATCAGCCATTTCATGTTCTTCATGACTTATTGTTTGTGAATACAGTGATGTTATCATAATAGTATGTATATGAAGTTGAGACGAATTGGGAATCAATTAAGAATGACCTATTTATGAAAGGGACGAATTAAGATAAAAACTTTTGGGACGAATCGGAAGAATCCCAATATAAGTCTGAATTCCATCGATATAAACTGTGTAATGATATATAATTAGTAGCACTAATATTCAAATAATTTATAAAATGCATCATCAGGAACAAAACATCTTTCACTTTCTTTTCTATTTTTTTTTCTCTTAATAAGTTAAAACTTCGGAAATCTTCTTGAGCTGGTACATCGCTCAATCGATAACTTGTCTTGTTAATGTTACTTGCAACTTTCCATCGATGACTGACAAACTAAAACCATATGAAAGTGAGTCTCAAAAATCTTCAATCCAATCCGATGAGGACAATTTCAGCTTCAAATATTAGGCTCAACATTCGCTATAGCTTACAACTATGCCCATGGTCAATTTTCAAGAAGTACTGTTTTAAAAAATATGTCAGAAAAATTAATGGAATTATAAAAAACCAGTATGTATCTACTGTATTAAGATCGTAAAATATAGATGAACATCGTTTTTTTTTAACTCAAGTGTCATGTCAATATTTATTTAACACAACAAACAATTCAATTCAAACTGCAATGTTCAATCTAAACAACAACTAACTTCAACTTAGAGACGTCAAAAATCCGTTAAACAATGGTTCTGTTGTCAAGTCAAAATAATGTATAACTTTTTACAGCCATGATAATTTATCCATATTCGAGTTTTCATTGATATAAAAAGACGGCGATGTTGTCAGCAGCACCATTGCAAGTGGTTCCCTGCAAGCGAGTAAATAAGACAAACACCGTCAAAAATCGAGCTCCAACAGGCACGTAACCGTTAGTCTGAAGAAAGATTAATGATGTTTGGTTTTCTCGATCGTTGGCAAGAACGGGTCCAATACTGGTTCCACTGCCTATTACCTGATTGACTTCATCAGCAAAAGTTAACGAAACTTCAGCGTTATCATTTTGAGTGGATAAGCCACCAAGCCATGCTGAAAGATTGAATTTCACAGTATGGGCATCAATGACAAGAGAATCAACATATTTAGTTAAATTGATTGTTTGCCACATTGATGTGGACCTTGTTATTTGTCCATAGAAGTAACAATAACCTCGATCACTGTAAAAATCTGAAGTTAGAAAAAGACAATCCGATATTTGTCTCACCTTGGACCAGACGTTATATATGTCTGACTGCTACTTGTGCTATTGTAGGAGATTTGCGTGACTGTCCCATTATGGTTCCATCCTGTTGGACTGGTAACATATGTGCCATTTTCACAAGAACCAGTTTCACCATCACCATTTGTCACCAAATTGACATTGAATACTAAACAATAAAGGATTGTTAGAAACTTCCAGTAATATTGCGAAACATTCTTATGAAAGTTATTAAAAATTCTAACACAATTAAAATGATACAGTGAATTAAGTTCTGTTGTTACAATTCATCTATAGTAATATATGATACTAAGAATTTTGATACATAACAGTTTTTAATCAAAATCCGACCAGTAATTTTCTCATTTGTGCGATCGATCCTGATAGGAAAACACTCAAACTATTTACTAATCAATTAAAGAAATATCCAAGTTATATATTGAGAAACAGACACATTCTATTTCTTGTTGATGATGTACAAAACGAGAGCTAAATAAGGAAAATAAATAGTTGTCAAGGTATTTTCGAAGTAACTGCAATTTTTCATTCTCGAAATAGAAAAAAAAGCAATTCTCTTCTAGATTATTGTAGTGATTACTGGGACATATTTAAAGCGCAGCGTTTACAGAAAAAAAAGAGTGCCATGAAATGGGATTTGATCACCAAATATTTTATAGTACAGGACATTTTCAATTCGTGCTGTGGTTCTTCATAATCTACGAGAATCAGGAAAATGTATACAATATTTTCTTTATAACATTCGTTCACTCATGGGCTATTCAAAACAGTGTAAATGTAATTGTATGGACAGCTTTAGTTTTTGTCACCGTTCAGGAAATTCAGAGTGAATAGCTCAGGGCAAATTGTACAGAATTCATATAATTTCTATGTTTCTCTCTACTTAAATAAACTTGTTTGGATTGAAAATTAGATATGACATCGATGTTAGTAGGATTACTTGATAATATCGTAGTAGTCTCTGAAGTTGTCGTCGTTGTTGTTTGTGCGGACTTGATTAGTAAACCAACAACAAGTGCAGCAATTCCAATGCCGACAAATAGACAACCAATCAAATATAAAAACACGCATAAAGGTGAATAGAAACAGCAATAAACATCAAGACATCTGCAGGAAATATCTTATCACTACAGAAAAAATAACATGCATAACATACTTTCTCCCTTTTTTTCTTTTCTTTTGATGTATTATATCACGGATATCTCCTTTAAAATCCGTTGAACTTGGCTATACAGAATATTGTTTTGATAAAAAAAAAAGAAACAATCGTCAGAAAAAAAAAGAAAGAGACTCACGGTGAAATTACTGTGAACGTTGAATGTACTAGCATCAGATTCAATTGCATTTAACTCACGCTGTCCAGTTGCTGATAGATGCCTTATTGTGTTCGATGATTCTTGTGTGCGTTCTTTATAACTATGTGTGTTTTCTCTCGCTATTTTTAAATCGCTACTACCTTCATTGTTCCAATCACCATTTCTCGATTTATTGGCACCTTCCTGTTATAAAAATTATAGTATAAAATAGTTAAATATATTAGTTTTAAAAAAAAAGACTTCTTTTGCTGAACAGTGACATTGACGAACTTTAGTAACGTTAACAGAACGTGTTGTAGTATTTGATTCTTTTCTCTGCTTTTGACTTTCGATTGGTGTTGTTTTATGCAAAGGATGATCAGTCGATACAGCAGAAGAGATCTATTTCAATAAAAAATGTAGAAAGATCATAATGCAAAAATTTCAAAAATGAAAATTGTTCTAACAGACCAACACCTTATCATTGTTCTTGGGATGAATTTTTGGTGATGGACGAATTCTTGCATGAATAATGATACTTGATTGACTTTTAATCTTCGATGAATGGCATCGCGGCTAGAAAAAATATTATTGCAGAAATTTTACTGCTATTATATTCAAGAAAAAAATGTATCGAACACACATGATTTTGAAAGAATCGATGTTGACGACGATGAT